CGGACGGACCCGACGGGCGGGTCGGGAAGGCGGGCCCAAGCGGCCAAGTCGAGAAGGCGTGCTGCTGAAGCGTGAGTACTGCACGAATCGCGAGGAGGGCTCGAGCGATAGCGCGTTTCTCAAGTAAGTCATGCGAAAGGCCACAGCGAGAGCGTGATCCTGAGTGTCGAGGGCGCGGCGTTTGAATAAATTGCGAGGGGGTCCCACGCGAGAGCGCGATTCCTGCACCGCTTGTGGGGAAGTCCCACGGGAGAGCGCCATTTTGGAATTCGCCGGCCCAACGGGCCAGGGCGTGCTAAGATCTCCGGTACCTGGTTAACAGTATTTCTAGTTCGCGCGCGCGGGGCGGCCCCTGGGGGTCCCCGGACGAAAAGTACCCCGGCAAGGTCCCGGCAAGTCCCCGGCAAGTCCCCGGCAAGTCCCCGGCAAGGTCCCGGCAAGGTCGGGTCAGAGATGCCGGAGTTCTGTTTCGGAGTCCAAGAGGGCTCCAGATCGGTCCAAGAGGGCCCCGAGAAGCTTTCTAGACGGTCCAAGAGAGGCCCGAGACGGCCAAAGATCGCCCGAAGACGCCCCAGATGGCCCCAAGACAGCCCAAGAGGCCTCCAAGACGCTCCAAGGGCCTTCCAAGAGGCCTCCGAAGAGGGCCCCAAGTTGCCAAAATCGTTGATTTTCATTGGTTTTTTCGATGTTTTTTTGCGTTCTGGCCTTTTCGCTTCCGGACGCTCCAAGAGGGCCCAAGAGGCCTTCAAGACTGCTCCAAGACGGCCCACGAGGCTCCCAAGACGGCCCCGGAGCGGCCCAAGAGCGCCCCCCAGACGGCCCAAGTGCTGCCCAAGGCGGACCAAGAGGCCCCAAGACGGGCCCAAGAGGGGCTCAAGAAGGGAACCGAGAACTGAAAAATCGAGCCCTCCGCCCCAGAAGGCGCCCAGGACCCCGAAAGAGGCCCCAAGAGACTCTCCAAGACACCCCCAAGACGCCCCAATAAGCTCCCGTGAGGCCCCAAGAGGACCAACAACGTCAGGCCCCAGGCCCCAAGAGGACCAACAAATACCGCCAAGAGCCCGCCGAAAGCCCCCCAAGAGACCGTCACGAGAGCTCAGGAGGCCCCCTGGAGGCCTCCCGAGTTCTCCAAGAGGCCTAAAAAGAGGCGCCAAGAGGCCCCAAACGGCCCCACCGAGGCTCCAAGAGGCCACGAACGCGCAAGCAAACGCCTGCGATGACACAATACGGGCCGGCGGAATGAGCGAAGCGATTAAATTCGCCGGCCCAACGGGCCAGGGCGTGCTAAGATCTCCGGTAACTGGTTAACAGTATTAACAGTATTTCTAGTTCGCGCGCGCGGGGCGGCCCCTGGGGGTCCCCCAGCGAAAAGTACCCCAACGCCCGACCGCCGCCCGACCGCCGCCCGACCGCCGCCCGACCACCGCCCGACCAAGTCTACTCAGAGATGGTTTTCCTTCTGGGTGCGGCCTCTCAGGCTCCCCAGAGCGCGCTCAGAGTGCCCCAAGAGGCCCCCAAGACTGCCCAAGAGGCCCCCGAGACGCCCAAAGAGCGCTCGAAGACGCCGAAGATGACCCCAAGACGGCCCAAAAGGCCCCCAAGACAGCCCAAGAGGCCTCCAAGACGCCCCAAGAGCCTTCCAAGAGGCCTCCGAAGAGAGCCCCAAGAGGCCAAAATCGTTGATTTTCATTGGTTTTTTCGATGTTTTTTGTGTTCTGGCTTTTTCGGCTTCCGGACGCTCCAAGACGGCCCAAGAGGCCCCCAAGACCGCTCCAAGACGGCCCACGAGGCTCCCAAGACGGCCCCGGAACGGCCCAGGAGGGCCCCCAAGACGGCCCAAGTGCCGCCCAAGACGGACCAAGAGGCCCCAAGACGGGCCCAAGAGGGGCTCAAGAGGGGAACCGAGAACTGAAAAATCGAGCCCTCCGCCCCAGAAGGCGCCCAGGAGGCCCCAAAAAGGCCCCAAGAGGCCCCCAAGAGGCCCCCAAGACGCCCCAAGAGGCGCCCAAGAGGCCCAAAAGAGGCCCCAAGAGGCCCCAAAACGGCCCCCAAAACTCGGCTAGCCCACAACGGTGCGACAATATGGGCCGGCGGAATGAGCGAAGCGATTAAATAAACTGTGAGGACGTATCGGGCGGGAGCCGTTGTTGTTGCAGTTCGGGGCCCAACAGCGCAGTTCGGTGGCACCAAACTTTCCCTGATAAAAAACAGGGTGCGAGCCCCGAGGGGGGCACATCAATTGAAAGAATACGATAATTAGCGGAGGGGGGATCAAAAACAATTACTCTCCATATATAAAACTTCCATCACAACAACGACAACAAAAACAACTCCAACCCCAACACCAAGAACAAGAACAACAACAAAAACCACAACAACGGTAACAGTAAACATAGTAATGATAATTCTAAAAATAGAAATAACAACACTAATAAACAGCATAGTGATGGCAATAGTACTCCTCATTGTCCTCCTCATCCTCATCCTCCTCCGTCTCTTCCCCATATTCCTCCTCCTCCTCCTCAACCTCCTCCTCCTCATCACCATCATCAGCATCATTACCACCACCATAACCACGGCCATCATCATCATATTCTTTCGTATAACCATCAGCATCATCGTCTCCTTCATCACCATCATGATCATCATCATCAGCAGCATCATCATCAGTATCATCATCAGTATCATCAGCATCAGCATCAGCATCAGCGTCAGCATCATAATCATAATCAGCATCATAATTGTCATGAGCACCACCATCATCATCAGCATCACAACCATCATCATTATCACCACCATCATCATCATCATCAGCACCATCATCATCAGTGCCATCATCATCATCATCATCATCATCATCCGAATACCGTCGTCATCGTCATCGTGCTCATCCTCATCCTCATCATCCTAATCACATCATCCTTCTCATCATCATCATTATCCACTTCCTCCTCCTCCTCGCCCACCTCCCCTCCTCCTCCTCATCATCATTCTTGCCCTCATCCCCCTTCCCTGCCTCCATCGCTATCTCGGTATGCTCCTCTGTATCATCTGCCTCCGTCCTCTGTACTTCCCCTCAAATTATGGAGCCAATTCCGTGTCTAACCAGGGACCCACAGGGCCCTGGAGGGTCTTGAAGGACCTGGAAGAACCTCCGAAGACCTCGAGGATCGGGGCGGTTTAGGGAAATGAGGAGATGCAGAGTGGCAGCGGACGAGGAAGAGACGAATGCGTGGTTGGCCTGTGCGGCAAAGTTTCAACGGGCACGGCACTGAGCCATGCACGAATCCACTGCCTGCAACACAGACTCAATAACGACTAACGACGAACAGCGAATCACCTTGAATGACGATGCCACCAGCACACAAATATTCAACATCGATATTGATAGTCAGAGACAAACGTTTGATAGCTGAAGCTGGCCAGTCACGTGTCATAGCGATAAGATTTACCCCACGAAAACAAAGAATGAGCGCCTGGCACCATCAATGATGAATTCGAAAAACTGGCATGCATGAGAGAGCACGCGAGATGCTCGAGATCTAATGCTGGGCAGCGCCTTTCAAGGAACATTCCAGTAGATGATGGCAACGTTCGACACTGCAGTCTGGCCAGGTTGTGAAGGCGGAATCGTCGAAATTAGGAAAGCTCAGGATGGCCATGCAAAAACACACGACGACAAGGTATCCAAATCGAACTCGGACTATGTTTCACAAGCTAATATCTAACTTCAAACAAGCCGAGAGACTGAAGCGCGGGACACCCCATGCCAGCCAGAAGACTCGAGACATCAATGATGCTGCTGAATCGCGAATCACCGCTGGAGGCCTGGTACATTAACTGCGATACGGTTCCCCTCGCTGATGGCGCGAACTCATCGTTGACGGTACCATCATACGCAGTCCACGCAGACCGTACGATCCAAGTACGTATCCGAAGCAGAGAGCGTGGCGCGCTGCAGCAGCCGCATCAGCGCGGCCAGGGACCAAGCAAACAATGAAGGCCTGGGCCTTCTGACCATCGGCAGTCCGATCTTCACTGACAACTATGGCTTGCAATTGGGAGGGGTCTCGGACCTCCATGGGCAGCCCACAGTTTACTGTGCGCATGTGCTCATCGGGAGCGGGGCTCCTGCCATTCAAAAAAAGGCACATGTCGACCCAGACTCGTTCGACTGAATAGATCTTCCTATCTTGAGAAGGCGGGAATGAACCACTTAAGATTGACGATCGCGGCAAGGCGCGGTAAGGCAAATGCGAAGCCTCCGAGCGAGCCGCATAAAACGAAACGATCAGCCAGATAAAAGTGAGACTCGTTCGACAAAGTCTTCGGAAGACGGATCTGACGTCACTGGAAATAAGCGGGCGGACGCAGCGGCAAAGGCAGGGATACCTCTGCATCCCTGCCCCTAACGCCGCAGAGATCAAGCTTACAGCGCAGACGAGCCAACGCCCTCAAGGCATGCTTGCTCTTTGTGGCTGCCGTCTTGGAGAGGTCCCCGCCCGGTGCAGCCCCAGCAGGGACCGAGCGGAAACGACTGGAACGTTCCCGTCGGCTGCGGCACGGCAGGGAGGGCAGGCATTTCTGTAAGACCTTCTCCTCGGTCGCAGAACTAGCTTGCTTGGCTTATTCTTACATCAAGAGGACTAGAAGCAAGGTCAAGCAGTGGATCCCTGGCCAATGCAAGCAGCTGGTGGCATACAGACTGCCGTTACGCCAGCTTGTGATTCGTTGTTTGCTCAGGTGCCGTCCCCACGGAGAGTCCCGCAAGTTTCAACGAGAGTGACAACGGCAGCGCCTTGCACAGTCTGGGGTCACCAGCTGGCCACGCTTGAGCCACGTCCACCCCCGACGCGATCCCGCCCCCCTCCCTCCGCCTCATCCCTCCTCCTCCGCTCCTCCACCTGCTCCTCCCTCCCTCCGGCTCTCCCTCTTTATCCTGCTTCTCCACCTTCTGCCGTTAGCCCTGCCTTGAGGTCTGTTGGTGTAGCCCCCCGTGCCTCTGATGGGACTGCGGGTGCATCTCTCGGATGGAGCGTCGTATGCGCTCCGAGGGCGCGAACCTCTCCGAGAACACCTCCGCATCCGCGTCCTCGAAGTCGGAGCCCTCACAATACTCGATGTCATCCTCTGGCTCGCTACTGGCCGACTCCAGAAACCCTAGGACACGCTTGCGTCGACCTCCCTGAGGGGGGGGGGTTACCTTCACTTCTGCCGACTTAGCCGAGCTTCCCCTCACGACGCCGCCCTCGCATCGCTTCCAGCAACATCTGCGGGCTTGTGGGGAAGGAACGCAGGGCAAGCACCCATTGCCTGAGCCCCCCGCTCCCCTTTGTTTCTTTTAAACTGCACAGCTCAGAGCCGTGCGTAGCCAGCCGAATGGGACAGCTCGAAACTGACTGAAATACGATCGAACATGATGTTATTATAAGGCGTTGATAGTTTCTGTGAGATTGAAGGAATTTGATGTGTTGAAGAGTTCTGAACTTCTTATAGATTGCAAGATTCTGCATTGTTGGACCACCAGGAGAGACTGAGAAATTCTGAGCACTTGAGATTGCAAAGTACTCAGAGACTGGGGGTGCTGAAGGATTACGAGAAAGTCTGAAAGACTGTGAGGATGTGGTATGTTGAGAGATTGAAAAGCCTCTTAGAGAAGGTTCTAGGCGAGGGCAAGCTCCTGAGAGATGGAGTGCTTCTGCGAGATTGAGAGAACCTCACTGTCAGAACCAGAGGAGACAGAAAGAGAGAGAGAGAGAGAAAAGAGAGAACCCTCACTCCGACAATGCGCAGGGGAACATAGAGAGAGGACACATAAAAACACTAGATAGATCGATGACCAGACAAGGCGAGCGAGACAGGGGAGGTGGTCGCGCGAGGGCGCCGAGAAACCTGGAACCCACTTCGAACCCTGGATGCGGTCAACACGAATACAACCCTGGCCCTCGAATACCCTGGCCTTCGAAGCGAAGGCCGTGGATCTGAGGACTGTGCCTCTGGCTGGGCCTGCTACGCGGTCCTGAGAAGAAGAAGCTTGGGAGCTGGCAGGGGCGAACGGGCCCTCCCCGAACCGTCGACGTCGTGATTTGCTTACGACGGGTCCCAGAAGCTAAAGGGGCCCCAGGACACGCAAATAAATACACACAAATAAAAAGATTCCCCATATTTTCCTATATGTTCTGTGTTTTTGTCTTCCCCCCCACTTCCCATATTTTCCCATATTTTCCTGGGAATCGACGATCAATTGTGTCTGTGTGTTTTCTTCCCTCCTGACTTACGACGGGTTCCAAAAGCTCTCGACTGCATCCGCGGAGCGGATCTTTCCCCTCAGACCACCTGTGGTGGCCGCCCGGCCCGACGGCGGCCCCCCTGGCTCCCAAGGAGCGCCCGCCGCGCTTGCTTGCCGCGGAGGAGGAGGAGGAGGAGGAGGAGGAGGAGGAGGAGTCGGGCTCGGCAGGCACAGGATGCCACGCCAGGGGGCGACGGCCGCCGCCACCGTCGCCGTCGCCGGTGCCGTCGCTGTCGTCGTCCGACCAGAACTTCGCCCGAGAGCGACCTACAGACTCTGCTCCTCGGGTCCACGCTGGCCACTTCGTCGAGCTGCGTCCGACCCCGGCGACGAGACCTTCCAGGAACGCCGCCCAAGCGAAACTCCGAGACGACCACCGTCGTCGTCGCCGCTGGGATGAGAGTAGCTATGTCAACCCCTATACCCGATTTCGTGGGGCTTTCGAATGGGCAAAACTTGGGAGCCCAACTCGAGGATATACGGTAAGGGGGCGTCATCGTCGGTAGGGGTGCGCCCGCACAGCCTCCTGGGGGTGTATCCCCGAGTTCCCCTCATTTTCTTGGCGGCTCGATTCTTCGTGGAAGAGTTGGGGACTTGGGAACGAGAAGTCGCCTGCGACGGCTCTCGCCCGAGACTTCCTGCTCGCCCCCCGCGTCCTCCTCTTCGGGGTAGGCCCCCTCCCCCCAACTCGGCCCAGGCGGGCCTTGCCCCCAGAGGCTCCCGCCGGACCACTGTTCGGAGATGGCCCGAGCCACGGTGCGAACGAACCGGGGAGGGTACAGGGCAGTTTTTAATACATAGGATGTTTAAAATATATTTGTTTTTGTTTTATATATATATATATAGTTATAAAGAAAAAGAAAAATACTAACAAACCAATGCATGAACTCCTCGCTGTTTTTAAGACTAAATCCCTGCATGTTTTATACATGATCCGCACGCGGAGCATGTATTAAAAACGGCACTGTAGCGACTGGCCTTGGAGGCGAGGCGGGGACCCGGCGGGCCCGAGGTCCTGCGGCTCCGTCGTCCGGAGGGGCTGGAAGGCCGCCATCGTCCCCGCGGGGGGGCGGGGGCCGCCCGCCGCGCCCGGGGGGGAGGGGGCGCGGGCGTGAGCGGGGACCAGGAAGCGGCTGGCGCCGGCGAGGGAAGGGAGGGAGGGAGGGAGGGGCACACACGACCACGACGAGACATCATCTTGGGGGGGCTCTGGATACCTGCGTCCAACCTCATACCCTCCTCCGTCCTCTCTCGTCTCTCACCTCTCCTCCTCCTCCACAGATGTACAATATGAATACTACTCTCCCCTCTTCCCCGAATGTGTACTGAGAGAGTCCGCCTCCCCTCCGCGCACTGTATTAATGTATACACATATATATATGTACAATAACACCAATAAGAATAATCATAAAAAGTACTAATACCAATAAAAAGTAAATTAATAATAATAGCAATAATAATTAAAAAATCGTATTATTAATAATAGTAATAATAATAATATTTATAATACAGATAACAATAATACTAATGATAATCATAACAATAAGCATAATCATAATCATAATCATAATCATACGAGTAATAAAAATACCAACAATACTAATAATAATAATAATAATAATAGTAATAATAATAGTAATAATAATGATGATAATAATAATGATAACAATAAGAAACATTATAATGATGAACATACTTACAACAACAACAATGATAATAGTAATACTAATTATAATAATGATAATAAGATAGTCATAATGGTAATACTGATGATGATAATATTGATGGTAGTCCTAATAATCATATGTGTTGCGCATCCGAGCTTGCTTTTTGTGTCATATCACTTTGATCCCTCCGCATCTTGCGTTTACGCAAAGGATTTGCGCGAAATGTTTTTGTCCCGTAGCCTGTTTTACCACCCGATTGATTACAGCTCTTCATGAACTTTGGTTTCGCTGCAGCGTGGCCGTCATTTTCGGATCGGTTCTGTGCTCCCGTTGTCCAATGGCGCTGACGCCCCAGAGTGGGCCACTTTTCTTTCTGGATCCCACAAATCTCGCAGGTCTCGCAGGGCACCACAGGCCCCACAGGTCCCACAAGTCTGACCTGTTCCACAGATCCCATTAAGTCCCACAAGTGTCGCAAGTCTCGCATGCCCCATAAGTCCGACAGGTCCCGCAGGTCCCACAAATCCCGCAGGTCCTGCCTGTGCAACGGGTCCAGCAGGTCTCGCAGGTCTCAAAAGTCCCACAGTTCCCACAGGTCCCACAGGTCCTACAAGTGTCGCAGGTCTCGCAGGCCCCACAGGCCACAGAGGTTCCCCACATCGCACAGGTCCCACAAGTTTCCCTCTTCCGACTGCGCATAATACGATGTGGTCTTCTGTAGATGTACAGGTCGGCTATGACACGCGTCCGCAGATATAGCAAAATCAGCGCAATGGGAAAGGATGGGCACGAAAGATAGGATGTCGGATATAGCGCGAGCGCACCTGGTTTGTCCTCACCGCTTGCCCTCCTCCTCCTCCTCCTCCTCCTCCTCCTCCTCCTCCTCCTCCTCCTCCTCCTCCTCCTCCTTGAATCACCCTCCTCATCCCTGGAACTGGGGGTTCACTGGAATCGCGGGGGGCAGCAGGAGTTCACAGGAGGCCCCAGGAGGCCTCAAGAGGCCCTAGAAGGCCCCAGGAGATCCCAGAAGGCCCCAGGAGGTGCCAGAAGGAAGTCCCAGGAGGCCTCAGGATTTCGGGGGATGCTGGAGATCCGGGAATGTAGGGCCTAGGGATTTCCAAAAGCTGTACACGTGTAAACAATAGCTCTATTGATCTAAAGTGTTGTGGGGACTCTAAGCCTGTATACAAATTTCTGAAACTTATGAAACCCATAATTCCCACCACAAGTCTGGGACGCCTGAGAATCTGGAAATCCTGGGTCCTAGTATTTTCGCAAGTTCAAAAAACTTTGGCTCAGTTGCTTCGTGACAGAAAAGCCTTAAACACAAAAAAGCAGCACGATAACACAAAAACAAAAAAACATGACACCTAACACTCAAGATGACGAGATGTATGAAACCAATGGTTCCAACCATGTCAGGGGGATCCTAGACATCTGGAAATCCATGGCCCTGGCATGTTCAAAGGTTTCAACATATGTCGAGCTTCAGAGACGCAGAACTTCAAACTCTTCTTAATCATTCCAGAATCCAAAGATTCTCATATATCTCAATATGTGTATTTATCTATATATATATATATGTAACAATTTGGTAACTGCTGGAAGAAACTCAAACTTCTGAAACCTCTGGCTTCTGGAATTTCGAACTCCTGGGGCCTCCTCGGGCCTCCTGGAACCTCCTGGGATACTGGGGACTCCTGGGGCCTCCTGGGGCCTTCTGGGACCTCATAAGGCCTCCTGGGGCCTCCTGTGGCTTTCTGGAGCTTCCTGGGGCATCCAGTAACTTCCTAAGTGCTCCTCCGGGGCCTCCTGGGGCCTCCTGAGACCTCCCAGGGCTTGCTGAGGCGTCCTGGCGCCTCCTGAGACCTCCTGGGGCCCCTGGGTCCCCTGCTCCCGCCCCTGGCTCTGCGGCGAGTGGCGCTGTAAAACATTGGTTCTGCGCAGACAGTATCCAAAACGAACAAAAATAAATCTGCGCAAAACTCCGAGGTGTGAAGCTTTCTCCAGGGCTAGACGCTACTCGGAAAACTTGTGCGTTTGG